TTTTTTTTTTTTTTTGCAATTTAATGTGTTATTGCTGAATAAATGTATCATTTCTTCCTAAAAAATGTAAATCTTACTGACCCCAACTTTTTAACAGTAGTGTATTTTCACTACTAAAGGAAAAATGACAATTAATTTATTTTCATAATTACCTGATTTTCTGACACAGGTTGGTTTTAGGATTTTTACAGAACTTGCACTCTCCACATTGGGGTACATACAGCGGAATAACAGTATCGCCTTCAACAACAAAGAGAAAGAGCTTCAAGATTTCTGCATAACACCCAGAACTGCTCACATTTTACACATTAAATGTCATTCACGTGAGGGTAAATAGTCCATTTTGACATGCCTGGTTTGAATTTGGTGACCCCTTCGCCAACACTCTCAACAGTGCCTGCCCCCTCATGACCCAGGATGACAGGAAACAAGCCCTCAGGGTCACTCCCACTCAGAGTGTAGGCGTCAGTGTGACACACACCTGTAGCATGAATCTAAAACATACAACTATGAAGACTTCTCACAGTTACAGATTTCGAACAGCTATGCATTAAGCTATGCAGTAATAAATGACTTGATTTGATTGTTTAATTATTTTAATAAAGAACACAAACAGGCTTCTGCATAATCATGCTCAAGACAATACTGCGGGGTCAAAACTGAACACCTGCCCGGTGTAAATCTGTCACAGAACATGGTGCTTTGACAGGGTGCAGCTGCAAGCTGGTTTGTTACAGCTTTAGTAGAGCCGGTGCAATTAGAAAGTGAAATTGTGACTCTATCAGTTATGAAAACATCTCAAAATACTCTGATATGTCACTTTAAAATGTTAAAAACAAAGGTTTTATGGAGCACCAAAGTACTCGGTGCTATCTACAATTTATCCACATCAAATAACCTATTGCTTTTGTCAAAAGGTACAATGTTCAGATTAATGGTTTACCTTCACTCGAACTTCATGGGCTTTAGGTGGAGCTACTTCCACCTCTTCAACGGAAAGAGGCTTACCAGCCTCCCAGGCCACTGCTGCCTTGCACTTGAGCACCTGAGGATGAATTGAGAAGATTTCAGTTCATAAATCCTCTTAGAAGAATTGTTTTGGTAACTCATTTTCCCATAAAATGAAGGTTATGTAAGCCACTGCTCTGGATGAAGTTATGCAGATACAGTGCAGTTTGAGATGCAATTAGATGCACAAAACCATGTGATTTTTAATACATTTCATGTACAGTTTAGCAAAATCGACCCAATATATAGTGAATCTCTATGTATATGATGTAATAAATCAATGCTGAAAGCTCGTTGAATGCAACAATAACGAGATCAGACTAACATGTTTCTGATCTTTTACGCATGCATTGTCACATATCTGAAAACAGAAAACAAGGGCAACGGAAAACAGGTCAAAGCAGCACAATGGATCTTTGTATACCAAGATCTGCACTCCTGTATTGCACAAGTGCTGTTACATATTTGAAACCGTTTTTGATTGTACGTCTTTGCACTCGAGTTTTTTCACAAATAGTGCAAAATTACGATTATTAAAAGCGTCCAAATGCACGCTGTAAATACTTAACGTTGTTCAAAGGGTGAGGGCAAATTCGCTGCAAACTTACTTTCCCGGTTGTGTCCATGCTTTTCTTCTACCACGAGAGGAAGGAAAGGAGGGGTGGGGCAAACTGAAGAACTCTTTCTTCAACCAATAAGAGACCAGGATGTGGCTACGCTTGAGCAAAGTTCGTTGTTTTTCTCAGCGCAAGCAGCGCTTTTCCATTTTATTGGTTTGTTGCTAAACGATTAATCTTTTGAATTGTAAACAATGAATTAAAGAGCAACTAGAAATTGCGTCTCAAAGCATTTCTGATGCCTGTACACTGTAAATATGTAATAAGTTATGTCTGGAAATGGAACTTTAGGTCATCTGGTCTTTCAATGTCCACATGCATAACTATCAGCACAGTTTCGGTAGTTGAAATAGGCTGCTGTATTTGTATTATATAATAATCACAAAATCAATTAGGAACTGTGAAATATAGTGACCAAAATGCCATCCTTTAATGTCTGACATGCTGTCACTTGTCTATTTATCAGCATCTTCAAAATGTATAATTGTTATTTTAAACTGTAGTCAGTGACATGTTGTTTTTCCAAGAATAGTAATTTTCCAATGCTGTCTGGTTCTGCACTGAAGATCTGGAAAAAACCCTGACTAAACACTTTGTCCAGCTGTTGATAACACGACACATTGCTTTTTTATAAACCGTCTCTGACAGCTTTGCAGAATCAGGAATCATTCAAACACTTGAGCAATAGCATATTTTGGAATTTGTGAACAAACATGTTGGTAAATCACAGTAGAATTAGTAAAAAAAAGCAAGTTGGCCATGTTAAAACTACAGTAATACCATCGATTTTATTTTGCAAGTCCATGGTGGCATCTGGAGTTCAAATGAAACAAATTGCAATTCTGTAAATGCAAATATTCATTATAATCCAACAATGTTTTCTACATTATTATAAGTATCTGTGTAGTTGGCTTTACCATTTTGTCACACTACAGAACCTTGATGTTGCTCAAGTCTATACTGGTCCAACTGTCAGTGGATGCAAACCAACCAGTCAAGGCTATGGAGACACCTGTCCTCTTTGAACACAGGGATGTGGTAACTTAAAACCTCAGCCCTATTAGTATACCAAATTTAAAAAATCTACTGCAGAAAAATACACATATGTTACAAAACAAAGTAAAAAGTTCCGCTGTACAAGAGAGTCATCAAATAACAGTCCAAATGCTGCTTCAGGCTTCTCACTGGAAGTCTCCCCAGAAGAAGAAAGGACACATCCCATACTGCGAGACCTTCATCATCTTCCACCTGCAAAGCAAGTAAGAAAAAAGTGACGTGTTTCTCCTACTACAATGAAGATGTTTTAATTGAATGAAAAATACAGATCAGCAGGGCTGGGCGATACAGCCCAAAAAAATGATCACGCTATTTTTTTTGTCATATCAGTCGATATCGATAATTATCACGATAAATGTCAAATCTTTATTTCTTTCAAGTTTAAAGCCAGATTTTTGCTCCAAAATGAAAGTTGTAGAAACCAGACCATTCATTTCCTTAACAAAATAAATAGAAAAATAGAAAAAATAATTTCTTAGTTTCTGCATGTTCTAATGAGTGATATTGGTTCAAATCAAGAAACAGATTTGGGTTGACTGATAATATTAATAATAACATCACTTTTTTTTGTCTCTTAGAAATGCACATTTGATAGTCGCTTGAGTTAGGATGCAGAGGTAAATATTTGTTCATTATCAAAATCAGTAACATTTGTAAAAATTGTAGCAACCTCCATTTTATATGGTTAAATTTATTCTGAGTAAGCATTGGTCTCCCATAGTAGCATACATTTAAATCATGATAAACAGTTAAAACCATGGTACAACTATAAATATATGTTTTTTTTAGGTAGCCTATTTGTATGAAAAACAGTAGTCTAAAAACATTCAGTATAAATGCACACATGCTATACCTTAATCTATACTATAATTACCATAACTCCAGTATAAAAAAATTCAGTGTGAATATCCCAAGTTTCTGCCACAATGCCTTGGTGCAGTGAGTGTTACTACAGTAAATCCATGGTAAATGATGGCGATGTGTAGATTGAACAGCCTTCTGACTGTCTCGTTGCACACAGTGTTTCTCCTGTTTGATTTTAAACTAGTTTAAATCAATTTTAAAGTAATTTGTGTTCATCGCTGAATTCAAGCAGTGGATCGCACAGCACTGTTTAGTGCTCGCGTGACCAAGTAAACACATCTGCTCTAGTGAACTTTGATCCGAGTGGATAAACGATCTGTGTGGCGCGCTTCAAATGAGCTGCGCTGTTTCGTTACGCTTTTGGCGCATAAACATTATATCGAACATTTATCGAACTCTTCATATCGTTTTATCAAGGAAAATTATATCGTGATAATTATCGTTATCGTATTATCGCCCAGCCCTAGAGATCAGATATAATATTCACATATAATCAGAATGAGCTTTAATGCCAGGTATGTTTACACATACGAGGAATTTGTTTTCGTGACCGAAGCTTCCACAGTGTAACAGAATGACAGTGACAGAACAAAAAACACAGATAAAAAAAAAATAATAATAAATGAAAAGTAAAACAAGGAATAAAAAATACACAAATCGACAATTGTATGTACAGGTATATTATGTGCAAATTGAA